TGGCTCCGGGAGTTCTCCCGGCAACAAGCTCTGCTTAGCTGGGTGGACTCCCTGGACATCCAGCTCAAAACGCAGCACGAAAATGAGCAGGTAATTGCCCCCTCCGACTTGTGTGACTGTATAGCCCGTGCTAACACGGTAAATTGAGTGGTTGTAGCTTATTGGGCGGTTATAGCGGGCTGTCATTAGCTGACTGGCTAATGACTGGTTCAAGCCTTCTCATCTATGAGTTTTCCCTACCTATTACATAACACAATTCCTTCGGGTCTGCACCACCTCTTCGCCTGCTTAGTTCCGTTTGCTTCATCTTCCTGGCTGGGAGTGCCGCGACTTGATTTTATGTTTTCTGGTGTTAACGTACGGTTTACTGCGTTGCTGGGAATGAGGGAGGGGCACTCCTGGTTACCTGTTCTTGGGTAACGGCATAGAAAAAAGTCAGTATTTTTCCGTTTATGTCCAAAATTCTCAAACAACGTATATATAAAAGACTCATTATTGATCTAAACTAAAATCACTTAATTCACCAAAATCAGTTCGGATTTCAGTAGAACAAACGTACCTACATGCCAATTCTTCTTCTCCAGGAAACTATCACACGGGCTTTTCAAAACGGAGAAGATGTGATAGGCTTGTATTTAGATTTGAAAAGTAGTAAGCATTTCACGCTGTTAACATAAACTTTCTTCACGTACATTTGCTTAATACAGTATTCAATGAAAATATCATGAATTCATTTCTTCTGATTTGTCCGGCAGAGCTAATTGTGTAGAAATCAGGAATTATCTATAATCGCTCAAAAATGTAATCATGGGTGTACCTTAAGGATCAATTCCCGGCCCAATTCTGCCATTAATGCACATAATGACTTGCCTCACTTAAGCAGTAACATGATTTGCCTCTGTTACTCTGATGATACTGCGATTATTTTCAAAGATAAAAGCATTGTGGAACTTTAAAACAATGTTAACGCGCGTTTGCTTCTAATGACTTCCTGTTTTGGTGCTATTTTTATTTCACTGAAGGCATCAAAAACATTTACACAGGATTACACTACCCGTTTCTCGCATTTCCAGCTAACTATGCAAAATAACAATTCGCATATTTAAGAGAAAAAAAATCAAATATCTTGGTGTGTTATCTTGTTAAATATCTTGTTGAAAGCATATTAAGTAGCAATATTGGAATAATAAGTGGAATTAGGTACTTAATACAAGCCCGGGTGGCCGGCTGGGTACCATTCGCTCGGGTGGGGTGCGGTCAGTTTGACTCCCCTGAGATCTCGGTACTAAGAGAGCTAGAGACACCAAATTTTCTGGCTATGTTGACTTGTATATGAGCTTACTTAAGTAAAAGGTTCAGGTTCCTAGGTCATGGTCTTAAGGTCAAATGAGTTAAAAAAGTTAGATTCCAGGTTGGTCTCCAAAAAGTCCCAAGGACCTAGATAACCGTTTCTAAGCAAAAGGTCACATGCTCATCTACGGTCAGTAACCTTTTTGACCTTTTGAAGGTTATGGTGAACAAAATCACGCAAGACTGCTGAGTTTTGCATCTAAATAAACGACAAAGATTACGTTAGGTAGTATTTTACGAAAATCAAAATGTCGATCTGGGTCATTTTAGGTCAATGACCCATTCTGACCTCTAAGAAGTCCTCTGACCTCTGACCTCTAAGAAGACCATGTCTCTTGTTAACGAGTAAACTATATTCGGCGATTCTTTTGGAGGGGGGGGGGGGGTTAACCCACCATCGGGGGGATTCAGGGGGCAACGCTGTGGCCCCCTTGACAAGGTTTTGGTTACGCTCCTGCCCACATGCAAAAGCAGATTAAGTTGGCTACGTTGATTGAGGGGCAACTGAATGTCTGTTGAACCAACTCATGCCTAATGCAGGTAGCTTTCCGTAAGTTTTTTGTCTGCGGTGGTGCGGTGTGAGGGAAAATTTGGAAAATACTGTTGCAGGTGTTCAATATGTATTTTACATAGCAATAAGTAGTACTGCTGATCCATGAAAATGCAGCATAGCAGCCATACGACCAGTCCACAGTCACTCATGTGGAGGTTAGCTGGTTCAGGGCAGTGGCCGCCGACGGCGGACGGGAGGAGGGCTCAGATAAGAAATATATGACAGAAGGGCCTTAATCCTCTGGCGTGGTTTGTGTGGAAGAAACTCTAGTTTTGTGGCTTTGTCACATTGTTTTGGGCAGTGAGCACTTGAAGCTTCTGAATTCGTTTCCACCTTAGATGCTGCGTCAGATCTTACCTCTTGAAAGGCAGCCGGCGAAATCTAGGCGTATAAAACTCTGGCGCCTGGGCCATCGATTCGCGTTCAAAATTCTGACTACCTGATGTCCAGGTCGTATTTTGACACCTACCCCGTGGAGGCAGATGACTCGTCAATGATTCAAAATGCCTTCCCGCTGGTGGAATCTCCCTCCCCGGGGAAAACAATGTTGAGATGGACGAATGATCTTGGGGGGCTGGATAGTCTTATTCGCCGAATGTCATAGATGAGTCGAGTGGGTAGAATTCTGCACCAATGAGAAACAGCCGTAGATGTGTCTAGCATACCAATCGTGACATTTAGTTACCTCCAAAATATGTTAAGTGAATTAAGGGAGGACAGTAACCTCCACATCTACCCCCTTCCGGTCACCGGGTTTGCTTTCTAGAAAAAGCTCCTGAATCATACCCTAAACCTGGTCCCCTCTACTTTTCTACTTTTTGAAACGTTTTTACGCCTATGCATATAGACCCATATCGACTCAGGGTGTTCCTGATCGGCGCAAAGAGCCCTCTGACTGTCGTTTGAGGGCTCATACTCGCAGGGAGAGGCGCCTGAACACGACTCCTACCAGCTCTTTCTGCCTTTAAACCCTCCTATCGAGCCCTTGAGCGTCGGACCCGGTGGGCCCTCCTGGCCCTTCGGGCCTCCTCGAATACCTTCCCTGGCTGACTTGGTCCCCTGCCAGCAAAGGCACCCTGTTAGGCGCTGGAGGCCCCGACCAATATAATATAGGGGGTACCTAATTAGTGCGCAGGGCCCTCTGGCTGGCACTAGAGTACCCCGGCCTGCGTGCCGGGTCCCTAAGTACGACCTCCGGCCGGTCTTTCGGGCCCTGAAATCGGGCCCTTGATCATAGGTCTCGAAAGGCCCGATGTGCCCTTGGAACCTAAGGGGGGGGGGGGCACGTGCCCCCTGCCTGTGCTATCGTATTTGTCAACATGCAACTTGCCAACGTCCACTATCGTTTTCCCCACGACTCACATCCCCGAGGACCAACCCCTTCAATCCACCACACCCTAAGGAGCCCCATCCACCACTTGTTTAGAGCTTAACGCTCGTGAAAAATTACAATTTTAGGAAAAAAGTTAACAATCCCAAAGTTCGCTGGCAAAAATCAAAGGGAAGCATAAATTGCGTGAATTGCCTTCGGCGAAAATGAAAGCATTAATTCATTCGCGAAAAATTAGCTAGCTTATTAACGGATTAGCAATTTAGCGGATTCGTGCCCACCTTTGCATACAAGCAATCACAAAGTCACCAGCGTGCGAGCCCAGTGTCTGGATGTCTTTCGAAAGTGCTCTTCTAGCGCTACCACACACCCATGATTTGACTAGCCTGGCGCTCCTCTGAAAACGATGCCGTAGTTTTTGCACCCTGGATCAGTGGTTTTGTGACCATACTGGCAGTCTCCACAGATGATGGAATAATGGACCGAAGGAGCACCAGCGTGCTGGCCGGTGCTTGTTTTTGCTGTATTTTCAGATGCCTGCATGAGTGCGATCAAACGTGCAGTAAATAACTTCTAGCCCAACTAAGCATAATCTTAAAACGCTGCCGTATTTTCCAACGCTGGGATCCCACGTGACTTGTGACGTCTTTCATGGCGGATACAGACTTTCTACAAAAACGTCCTCTTCGCGGCAAACGGTTTTGTGTATACTGAGCTTAGATGCGAAGTGCTGCCACGCTGCTGGCATTAGTTCCTTGTCAGACAGCCACCCGCCTTTGAATAAGATACCCTGTATGTGTCATAACAAATAGCGGACGAAGAGGCCATCCGCCACCGCGGCCGATCTCTGGTGTCTGGAAGACCTCCAGCAGTGCTTTTAGACGCGAAAGATTTTACTCTTCTCCTATATTTCAAATAATTCTAGAGCAGTAACATATTTCTGCCAGCCATGTTTTTTTTTAAATTTCAATGCGTTTTGTGACGTCACTGGTGACCTCCACAATCTTCTAGAAAGATGCATTTACCGCCACAGGGGAGGATATACCGCCGTGGGGAGGAACGAAGCGCATGCACAAAATGACGCCGATTTACCAGCATATAGAAGCAAAGTGCCTCCCTCTTCTCGGTCAGATGTTCTGCGGGGGTCACCGATCGGATCACGCCATAGATCGCTCAAGAAAAAAAGCGAAAATCACTTTCGCGAGATCGGCAGCCTCTGACGGCTCACACGTTCACAGGACCATCGCCGTCACTGTGAATTCACGACGCACTCAGCTACTGCGGCGATGTGATGTCGCTTGCCTCTCACCCCGTCAGACAGGGCGGGCGCCGCGGGAAATCTGACCTCCTCCCTCTGATTTCCCAGAAACGCAGCTTAACCACAAGATCCCTCCCCTCAGATACATGTGCGGATCGGGTTGAGTGCCGTAGTCCCGGTCGTGTTCGGCGCCAGCTGCCCCAGCGTGACGTCCCGGTCGCGTTCGGCGCCAGCTGCCCCGGCGTGACGCCCAGGTCGTGTTCGGCGCCAGCTGCCCCGGCGTGACGCCCAGGTCGTATTCGGCACCAACTGCCCCGGCGTTGCAGCTGCCGTTAAGAAATCAGCCGACCAGCTCGTCCTGTCACCGAGAAGCGGACTGCTTTAAAGAATCCAATGACGCACACGATTCCGTGCTTCATAGCATTAAGTAAACGATAAACGAATAGCAAAACGTGATGTGCTAAACTGATTAACTAATGAATGTGGAAGGCATTTCGAGCTTGGTGTGGACACGCGTTTATTGAGCAGTGCTGGCCACACACTTCATGGCACAAGGGTCAACACGTGGCCGCATACAAAACAGTGACGTCATGTAGCCGCGTACAAAACGGTGAAGACATGTACCTGCGTACAAAACAGTAAAGCTGACAGAGTGCGGTGAGTTGTAAATCAGTAGCCAATGTGGTCCGAGCATGGTGAAGGAGCCAGGAAAGAGTTGATAAGTTATTACGCCGGTAAAACTTCATATCTGACACATCATTACGCTCCAATTGCAGTTTCATGTCCACGTACATGTTCCTATAAATCACTCTGCTAACGAAGCACACCACCCTGAATTGCTACTGCAGAGGATCTACATACACAAACTAATATTGCAAACGCATCTTTGTAGCACGTACGTCCGCAAAACACACAAATTCGTCATGCAGCCAATGGTAATGGCTGTTCATTGTAGGTGATATGGGCATTTCAACAGTAAGAACACGATGTCTTCTTAAAACAAACACACATGTTGCAGTGTACATATGGCTAAGATGCACGCAAGCGCTTGACACGGATCATTGTAATGTCTGCAATACTAACACGTTTCATATGTTTCGTCAATTGCAATCATGCAACGTTTTTTTCTTCAAGAATTGTGACCGTATGCAGGCGAAAACATTTCACATCCACATTACACACAATCACGGTGACCAGTCCCGAGCGCCAATCACGCCAAATACCTTTAACTAAACGCATAAACTTTGCTTAGTTTTGTAAAAAGTCAACATGATTCGTACTTCAATATTGGGCATGCCTTACATCACGCAAGCCATTAGGCATTTAAAAACCTTCCCGACGCCAATGGCCAAAAAGGCCGACAGCACGTGAGCGAAGACGCACGACTACTCCGTCACAACTGCGCTCCGCCCGTCCCCAGCTGCTGAGGCCGACACGGCAGAGCAGAGGGCGAGCGACGCCGCTCCTAGGTCACCGGCGCCACCGCCGGCTCCTCGGCCTGGTGCTTCTTCCAGCGATGCCGCTTCAGGTGCTTCCGCTCCTTAAAGCCGGCGCCGCACATCTCGCAGATGAACTTGCGCTCGTCCGTGTGCACGGTCTCCTCGTGCACGCGCCGCGAGCTGGAGGCGGCGAAGCCCTTCTGGCAGTACTGGCAGCGGTACGGGCGCGCGCCGCTGTGCGCCCGGCTGTGCACCTTCAGATGGCTCTGGTACATGAACATCTTGCCGCACTCCTCGCACTGGAACGGTCGCTCGCCTGTGTGGATGCGCATGTGCACCACCAGGTTACCCTGAATACTGAAGCGCTTGCCGCACTGGGCGCACTGGAACGGCTTCTCACCGGTGTGCGTGCGGTAGTGCATCTCCAGACTGGCGTACGAGAGCAGCGCCTTGCCGCAGGTCGGACAGACGTGGTCGCGCCGTTTGCCCTTGCCGCCTGGTGGCGCCGGCACAGCGTGTCGCCCCCGGGGCAGCGGCACGTGGGCCGGTAGCGGGGCGACCGGCGCGGGCGCCTCCGTCTCTGCCGCGGCAGGCGACGGCTGCGCGGCCTCCCGCAGCTTGCAGACGTGCTGGCTGAGGCGCCAGGCGTTGACGAAGGTGATGCGGCACGTCTCGCAGCGATACGGCCGCTCCTTGAAGTGGCCGGCTTCGTGCTTGCGCATGTTGCCGCTGTCGTTGCAGGTCTTGTCGCAGTAGCGGCAGTGGAAGGGCCGCTCGCCCGAATGGATGCGCCGGTGCCGGTGCCAGCCGGTGATGGACAGCAGGCGGCGGCCGCACACGCCGCAGTCGATCGGCAGGAGCGGCGGCAGGCCCGAGCTCGGGTTCCGCTCGGCCGCCGGCGCCGACTCGTCCATCACCAGTGGCGCGTCCACGGCGTCCGGCGCTACGCCGTCCGAGCCACTGCCGGACTCGGACCGTGGTCGCTTCCTGCGCGCCGCCGCCAGGCGGCAGCGGTGCGCCTGCTGTCGCAGCTCCGTCCAGAACGTCATGCCGCACGAGTCGCATTTGAATGGGCGCGGTTTGAAGTGGAGCAGCTCGTGCTTGCGCAGGTTGCCCTGGTCATTGCATCGCTTGGGGCAGTAGGCGCAGCCGTGTGGCCGCTCGCCCGTGTGTGTGCGCCGGTGCACGGCCAGTTTGTTGGGACTGGAGAGCACCTTATCACAAACGTCGCACTGCAGCGAGGCGGGCACCGCTGTCGGCGCTGGCGCGGCGCGGCCAGAGCGCAGACGGCGCGGCGCCAATGCCGCTCCCCCCTCCGGCGTCAGTGCCGCTCCTCCCTCCGGCGCCGGTGCCGCGCCCTCCTCCAGCGCCGGTGCCACGCTCTCCTCCAACGCTGGTGTCGCGCTCTCCTCCGGCACAGGGCTGCCGCCGGCCGTCTCCGGCGCCGCCATCTCAGCGTCGGCCTCGTCGTCGCGCGGCGCGTGCCGGACGAAGTGAGAGCGGAGGCGGGCGGCGCTGGCGCACAGTTTCGGACAGAGGGCGCAGCGGAACAGCAGGCCGTCGTGAGAGGCCAGCACGGAGCCAATGGTGCGCAGCTGTGCGGCGCCGTCATTCGCCGGCGACGAACCGCGCCGCTCCGGCTGGGTCGAGGCGGCCGGCCCGCTAGGTACGACGCCTCCATCAGTTGTCTCTGAAAACGTGGCACCAACGTTAACGACGAGGCTGGTGTAAAGTAATGAGAGTGGCCCACTCCCCCGGTCAAACATGCCACTCCTTAATTGAAAAATGACCGTTTTGTCGGCCAAGCAATTACATGGGGGTTTCTCAAGAACACTTAAGAGTATCCTAAATGGCAACACAGCCAAACATACACTGTTATTTAAATAAAAATTAGCAATAACAGATAAGATTGAATCAAATGACACGAACACTCCCATATTTGTCATTACTCAGATCTAGCAGTGCGTGTGTGGCAGTGCACTACACCAAGCAATAAGCCACTTGATGGAACAATTGTGACTACAATGACCTGACCTGGCAGTATGTTTACCATCAAATTTTGAATATCAAATACATCAACTGGTCTCTGCTACACTCAGCAGCAGGGGATGGTTTGAATCCGTCATGAAGATTTGTGGCCAACAATGTTGATGAAACAAGTTAATACCTTCCCCATGTGTAACAGGTACTCATAGCGCAAGTGGCATTCACAACATAGACAACATTCACCAACATTAATAATGCAGATCTAAGGCCTGACCAGGGACCTGAGCCGACATCAGTTACACTTTTTGGGGCTGATCAGCATATACAGAATTAGGTTTGCAGCATTTAAGGCTTGTACCAGATTCAGTTACTGGGAAAGGACAGCAAGCCAGCTGCTATTCTTTTGTTCCCGAAGCATTGATAAAAGCACAATGCCCAGGTACCAAGACCACATCTAAGGTCTTACAGATTGCCAGAGACTCTGTCGACGGGCCTCGGAAGGCCTGCCACGGCCCAGATGGCAGGCCTCAGAAGGTCTGCTGAGGCCCGGTCGGTGGGCCTCGGAACGCCTGTCGAGATCTGGTCGGCGGGCCTCGGCAGGACGGTGTTCACCTGAACAGCTGGACCTGGTCGTCTGCCGGAGGCCGGGCAGCGCCGGCGGCCGCGCCCTGCCCGCCGACCCTTCTCCACTGAGGGCCAGTACCACCGGGTCGCAGGCGATCGTGAGGTTCTCCGTCGGCCCGCCCGGCGGCGGCGGCGGCGGCGGCGGCGGCGGCGGCGGCGGCGGCGGCGGCGGCGGCGGCGGCGGCGGCGGCGGCGGCGGCGGCGGCGGCAGCGGCTCGGCGGCCGGTGCCAGGACGCGATGGGCGCGCGGCCCGCGCTGCTGACCGGCCGATGCCAGCAGCACGGACGCGGCAGCGGCGGCAGCACTGCCAACACTGTTCTCTGCAGGTGGTGGCGTTGTCACTGTGTGCACAGCAGACTTCTGGATGGAGGAGGGCTGGCTGGCACTGGGTGGCTGGGATGGAGGAGATGAGACACTGCATCTGGGAACACTAGCTGGATGACTGTTAAATGAGCTGAGCAATGAGCTCTCACAGCCCACAATGTTTGGACCATGTGGAAAATGTGGGTATGCTTTGGTGTTCTCACATTCTTGCCCTGTGACTTTTCCTCCAAAAGGCAAAATATGAGAGGGCAGTCCAATGACAACACCAGATGTTTGTGGTTGTCTTGGATCTAGCACCTCAGACATTTGTGACAGTACTGCACATTCCAGTGATTGCCTTGATGGTTCAGCAGACTCAGGAGCATAAGGAAGCTTCTGAGCCACAACCCTCACTCTCTTCAACTTGGTGTCTGTGCATGCAGCTTCTGCGGGTAATGTCAGTGCCAGTCCTTTCTCCAAGCAACCATCAGCCAGCATTTGTTGCCCACTCTTTGAATTATCTGTAACATCAGTGCTGGGCATCTGTGACATAACTGATGCACCAACAGCCAAGGAAGTTGGTCTACCTTCACTGAGGCTGGTTGCCAGCTCCAATCCAATGCTGGTGATGAGCACTGGTGCAACTGACTGCAGACCCTCCATGCATCTTGGTTTGGCCAGCCATGCAGGTGCATTACTCTGGTTGTTGTTGTTGCTAGACTTATGCAGCTTTGGGGGTGCTGCTTGAGAATTGTCAGTGGTGAATGGTTGCACCCCTGCCAAACTGGATGTGTGGCCACTTTCCACACATGTCTCCAAATTATCCAAGCCAATAGGTGGAGTCACTTTTCCTTGCTTTGTTATGTCATCACCCTGGGTAATGGATAATGTACTTCTTGGGTATGCAGGCAGGTCTGCATTTGCCTTAGACATCAGCAATATTTGCAGTATGCTGAAAATAAATAAATTGTATTAATACATCATTGTTGTGTATTTGGCACACATATGTAGTTTGACAACATTTGAAGAAAGGCTGGTTGTTCCTGGAAACTTTATCACGATGGCGAATCAGTTAATCAATAGCCGCCTGCCAAAACCCTCTATCTCCTTAACTAGCGGCATTCCCGCCGTAAGCCTCAGACTTACTAAGATAGTCCAAATCAGTTAAAAATGACGCGAGAGCCATAAACATCAGCATCTAAGGACACATCCAACGTTTATAACCGCTTTCAGCACCGGTAGTCACTCCTCTGTGGTGAATGACAAAACATAACGTTTGCGCTCACGCAAGTCGCCGCCCATCATGCTATCACCAAACGACGCACGAAGGTGCGGCGTGATCGGCGCGACCGTCAGCCAAGTATGTGATGTTGCTGACGGCTCTCAGTTTTTTTTCTCAGATTGCATGGTTACGTCACAAGATTACAAAATTCATTAACGACAATCCATTCCATAAATATATGGTTCGCTTCGTGAAGCAGCCCATGTCTTAAACTTAATGCCGTCGAAATGACAGACACGAGGAACTACCGTGAAACTGGGTGAAAGGCATGCAAAAAGACAGTTGAGCAAGCAATACAATATTGCATTGCGAGAATTGCATATGAAATACCTGGCATCTTTGTTCAAAATTTGACAACACTTCACTCCTGAAGCTCCGAATCTCACTTTCCACATTCGCCTCTTCCCCCAAAGTCTGTGTCACTTGTCACTTCATCTCAAATCGACAGGTAATAGGGGTATTACCTGTCGATTTGAGGTGAAGTGACAAGTGTCATTTTAACAGGGTGCAAATGGTAGTGGGCTTCACAGCCAGGCCAGTGGGTGATGTCTGACGCAAAGATCACATTACCCCCGTTTTAGAGGCCGTCAGCTGAAGTAGTGTCACCTGTGCGTATATGTGTATCTCGTGTACTGTGTGTTTTCGTGTACGACTAGCAGCAGAGCAACCGCCACGTGATTGTACCTGCGATGATATATATACGAATGCAAAAATGCTGCCAACTAAAGGGAGGATCTGTATTTTTGTGTTGCTGTAGCTGCTAATCTGACCAAAATATATCCTTTAGGTTCTAAAAAGGTTACGCCCAGTCTTCTCTTTGAACGGTGCGAATTCATTTGGAAAGGCATTTAGAACCATTATTTTATGACGGTCGGTCTGACGTGCACGGCGCCCAGCACCTGGTGTTACTCGCAGTGGTCAATCCTATTCGGCTTTACGAAACTGCAACTCAGGCTATCGCTGCCGTTGCTCTCGAGATAGCAGGTGCGCAGGCCCCAACCCTTTGTAATTTGTTTCACTAGTCTTCTCTGCAAAAAAATAAATGCTCTCGAGCAGGCATGGGATGAGCTTGTTCGCTTCTTAACTCATTTCGATCCACCCACTCAACACTAATGATATCTCCTATTTTTTTCCGGAAAAGGAGTCCTCTTAAGTAGAATACTGAGTGCAGATTGTTGTTCCCTGTCAAGGGTGAAGTGCCATTCTGTCCCACCGCGGGGCGTCTCCCGGCTGCCCCTGTGGTGACACGAGCGGGATCGTTTGGCCGATTCGAAGTCCCTTAAAAGGACACATCACATCATTTTAGTCCCCTCGCTGACGCGGGAGGCCTTTTGACCTGCGCAGTTGATCCTGGATCGAGGCAGAGCTCCTCACTGGCACAACAGCATTCCTGAAAGTCGTAGGTGATGCAATAATCCGTGTGATCAGATGGGACCGGACAGAACCGGATGGAAATGGACCGAGCCGGATGAAGCGTCACGGAACCGCGCGCGATGAGGCGGGGCCGGACGGAACCGAATGGGACTGAACAAGATGGGGTAAGACTGGACGGAACTGAGTGGGACTAAGCGGGACAGACCAAACTAGACGGGACCGGGCGGGACCAGAAGAGTTCGGATGGGGCTGTATGAAACCGGACGAGACCAAATGGAATCAAACGGAATCAGAAAGGGCCAGACCGAACCAGACAGGATCAGACAGGCCTGGTCTAGTCCTTTCGGTTCCGCCCGATTTGTACCGCCCGGTTTGTACCGCCCGGATCGGTTCCGCCCGGTTTGTACCGCCCAGGTCTTGTTGGCGTCCACTGCCGTCCAATTTCGTCCGGCGCCATCCGGTCACGCCTGGTCCTGTTGGTCCCATCCGATTCCCTCCCGTTCCGTCCTGTTCCACCTGGTGTCATTAGGTCTCTTCCAGTTTATTCGGTCCTATCCGGCCTCGCCTGGTCCCGCCCGGTCCCCTCTGGTTTTGTAAGGTCCCGTCCGCTCCCGTCCACTCCTGTCCAATCCCGTCCAGTACCGTCCTTGCAGTTCGATTCGATTCGATTTAGTACCGTCTGACGTCATCATGCTCCAGTCCCTTCGATCCGGGGCCTCGTCCGGTGCCGTGCGGTCATGTCAGATCCCATTTGGTGGCGTCTGGTCCCGTCTGGTCAAGTCAGGTTTTGTTCGGTTCGGTCCGGTCCCGTCTAGTCTCAGGGGGTCTCGTTCGAGTCTATCCGGTCCCGTCCGGTCCCGTTTGATCCCGCCAGATCATATCTGGTTTGGTCTGGTTCCGTTTGGTCCCATCCGGTCTCGCCTGGTCCCAACTGGTGCCGTAACGTCCAGATCATGAGCCCCAATTCCAAAACAGGTGAATCGGTCACAATTCATCGTTCACCCACTAGGGTCGGCGCATGTGTGATGCAAAGCTACTTTTTATCATCCTGGACTCGCCGGGGTCAGCAGACGCGCGACGCAGCCACAACTGCACCTCGGCGCCAATCGTGCGTTGTTAATCGGGCTCCGGACAATCATGGCCTGTAAAATATATTTAATGAAGTGCTATTTTGCTTGTCTTTCATCGAGCTTTGTGATGCCTGCTCGCGTTTATCATTTTGTTGGCATCAGTAGTTTTAAATACAAGCTGTTTCATTGCGTGGCCTATCACAAGGCTGCCAGGGTTTTGTAATTTTGTGACGTCATCATACAATCAGCTGAAAGCGTGTGTGACCATCGACATCGTCGGATCAACAGCTGACGATCGTCCGTGTCGCAAGTTCATGCAAGGTTTCAGAAGCGCCGGTGTTTGCGTTGGTCGGTGAGGGTTGGGTAGGAGACTGGTGTGGGGGGAAGGGACGCTCATCACGATAATATACCACAAATGGGTAAATGGAGGTGGTTAGAATATGAATGAGTGCTTGGTTGCTTTTTTGATGCCATTAAGTTATGGTTTGCCGACTGCATTGTGTTGATCCAGACCGTTTAAGGAGGTAAGAGGCCTGCGTTTGGAGGTCCGATAGGGTAGTCACGTGTTGGATGCGTGCTTTTGCTTCAAAGTTTCACAGAGACACTCACATCCATACATTTAGTGGTTGCATGAATGGGTGGTGGGGTTGTGATAAAAAACAATCCACTCGATAGTGAAACTAAAAGAAAACAATTTGTGCTGTTAAATAAACATCCTCCCATTTGGTGATTATTAAAAAGGCTATGTTATATGCAGCAGTATGCAGTCAATTAGAGGGCAGATCAAGACCAGGACAGTTGAGGTTTTTATTGACTTATCCTAAAGTGTGTGGGTCTTAGATGGTCAAAAGTTAGTGTGCTTTATACATCAGCTGCAGGAGTGAAGCACACACCTAGTATGATGAAATGATGGAAAGTTATCTTGCTGTCCTAAATTGATGGTCACCAACCTTTGTGTTAAGCTGTTCTGATATATTGCATGGTAGACATTCTTCCCTTAGTTTATTTGCCATTGTAGTCCAAAAGATTATTTTCTTTATCATTGCTGCTCACAACCAAGGACTTAAGCATATACCAAATACCAAATGGAATCTTAATCCATAACCAGCTGGCAGATCAACAGGGAAGATTCTGTGATGTCAGGAGTAGGTGTGGTGTCCTGAACTGGGACCTCAGAGGATATAAACTATGACAGCTTATCATGGTGCTACCTTGTTAATATGTAGGGGACTTTCATCAGGACTGAACACTTGGGAGGAGGACCTTGGGTAACTTGGTCCCTTAAGAGGCCTGTGACTTTCATGCAAGGATTTTTGTGCAGCCAGGGTATGTAAGTTTTTAAGTGCATCCAAGAGGAACATTATTCACATAGATATGACAGGAGAAATAGCCATGTTTGCCAGAGAACAGCTGGAAGAATGGGGGTAAAGATCTATTGATATTTGAGCAACATGCTTGTACCAAAACAAATAGCAGAACAACTTTTTGTAATTGATAATGATGCAGAATGCCAAATACCAAAGTATCAATGCATCTATATCTCCATTCTCCTGGTTTTTCTCTGAGGAATAAGGCTATTACTACAGCCAGAGTGAAGCATACTTTAAAATCTATGTCTTGCTTAGGAAAATTGCTTTGGAAAAAAGTATAGCACAGTCTAGCTGGCTGAAAAGTCCTGCACAGTAGTTGCATACTTTGTTGGAAAAATCGTAGCCTGCGAAAGCAAGCAACAAAGTAACGTAGTGGACCCCCAGAACTTACAGACATGCAATAAGTTGAAGGCTTCAGATCGTGTCTTTATACACCAGTTTCTGTAAAAAAAAACATTGATCAGCAGGCTTCCATGTCATCTTATCCTTTATTGTGTTTGTGTAGTGAATGTTTTTCAAACCAATATATGTTATAGGTGTGTAACACTGTATCTCCTTGCAGCCATGTTGCCAAGTGGTGGATATTTCAAGAGCTTGACGTGCCCATATTTCAAGAGTGGATACTGTGAGCGGCCTCACTGCCACTTCCGTCATGTTAGTGAACCAGTCAGCGGTGTCAGGGAGCCTGAAACACCAAATGAGGAAGCAGTCTCAGGTATGACAAAGTAGTCACAGTGTTGGAGGCTCCATGTCTTCAGTTGTGTCAGACACGGTTCTCAGCACCATTTGTAGGATATGGTAGTGGCAAATTGCGTTTTCAGAGAGCTTTTGTATGTGCATATGTGATGGTGGGCAATTGATGGCTTTGTTTCTTTGGTCGCCTACTGCCTCTGTCGCCCCACTGACCGAGTGTTCTGGGCCAGCTTCAGCAGCTGCCGCCCCAGCTGTGGACAGCGCGGTGCTGCAGGAGATGGTGTCGCGGGCTGTGCGCGAGGCACTGCGGAGCGGCGCCGCCGCCGCACTCACAGCCGACACCATCGCCAGCAGTCTGGAGTTGTCGGGCTCGCTGGCGGCGGCTCCCGCTCCGGCTCCGACTCCGGCTCCGGCTTCGGCTTCGGCTTCGGCTTCGGCTTCGGCTTCGGCTCCGGCTCCGGCTCCGGCTCCGGCTCCGGCTCTGGCTCCTGCTTTGGCTTCGGCTTCGGCTTCGGCTCCGGCTCCGGCTCCGGCTCCGGCTCCGGCTTCCAAGCCCCGGCTGTACCCGGTGCCAGCGTCCGCCGTGTACAAGCCGACGCCGCTGCGGGACCTGGAGCGGCGCCGCTCCACTGCCGAGCCGCGCTTCTCCGACGAGGAGGACGACGACGACGGCAGCAGCGGCAACGGCGGCAAGGCCGAGCCCACGCGCCGGCCCGCGCCGCCGCCGGCCGCCAACGCCGCCAAGCAGGCTGAGGAGTTCGACCTGCTCGAACAAATCATGGCCGAGAGCAGCAAGCCGATCCAGATGACGAGTACGTTGAAGCGGAAGCTGCGCTTGCGGCCGGTGGTGTTCACGGCGACGTCGCACATGGAGGAGCCGTACGAGCCGGCGGGCGCGGCGGACACCGACGCCGCCACCGCCACCGCCGCCGCCGAGTACCGGCCCACGAGAAAGCCGGGCTCGGTCGACCCCGATGCTTCGCCAGCGCTGAGCTCCGCCCCGACGACCTCCTCTGCCTCCCCCGAAAACACCAAAGCCTGCGCCATCGTACCAGCAGCCATCACCAGGTCCGTCCCTGTCTGCACCAGCGAAGCCGCCGCTGCTTGTAGCCGAGTCAGAAGTCCGCCGCAAGGCTCGGCTGAGGCGCCTGGAGTGCCGGCGGAGGGCGGGTCACCAGCAGCAGTGACGCGTGGCGGCGACGCGTCTGTGGTCAGTGGATCTGCTCGTGACGGGAGAGAATCTGTGATAGAAAGTGTGTGTGCTGCTGGGGATTCAAAGGTAGCTGATGCTGCACAGTGGTCCGATAAGGGTGTTGCTTGCAAGGTGGAGGTCTGCAATGACACTGTGGGCAAGGACAGTGCAGGCTCTGCCGTTCAAAGTGAATACTCAGTTTCCAACGGGTGCGATGGCGTGAACGTGAGGCGTATCACAGGTGATCCCGTGGAAGCCGGTGGTGACGGTAACAGGGGACAGGCTGCCCGGCAAGACGCGGTGGTGGTGAAGTCCGAACCGACGGAGGACGACCAGCTCCACAGGAAGCGGTCGCGGACATCATCGGACGACGACGCCCGCAGTGGTAAACGGCGGCATACGGAGATTAGGAAGACGTCAGGCGACGGGCATAGTTCGTCCAAGCACACGCACAAGCACCATGACAAGTCGCGCTCTTCTCAGGACCGTGATAAGCGCACCGTGTCGTCCTCGCGTGAGCACAAAGTTCACGCTTCAAAAGACCGAGAAGGTCATGCAAAGTCATCTTCAGATCGAAGCAAGTCTCACCGTCATTCGTCGAAAGATCGGAACGAGAAAAAGCCGCGCAGCTCATCTCACAGTCACAGTGACAAGTCAGCGACGAGTAGAGATAAAGTCGAGAAGAGTGGTCACAAATCTGCCTCGCGCACTCAAAGAGACAAGTCTGGCTCCTCACATGAGCGCGACAAGCCGCGTGAGAGGTCGTCGTCTCACCGTGACAGAGACAAACGGACTTCGTCAAAGGAGCGCGAGAGATCCGACCACAGGTCGTCATCCCGCAAGCACAAGGATAAGTCTCACTCTACACGTGATGGAGAGGACGGAGGTGAAAGGAAGACCTCTCACGACCACAGAGACAAATCGGTCGGCTCTGAGGGCCGGGGGCGACACGGCCAGCGCGCCTCCTCCTCCCACAAAGACAAGTCCGGTGCGTCCGAGTCGTCCAGCAGGAAGCGCTGCCACTCGCGCCCGTCGACGAGCGGTGACGTAGCGGGCGGCAGGCAACGCTCCTCGGACGGCGCGCCGGCCCGGAGCTCTCGTTCCAGCTCGGGCGGCGCCGAGCCGGGCCCGAGCAGCGCCGGGCCAGCTGCCGGTCCGAGTAACGCCCGTCCATCGGACGACTCCGGGTCAGGTGAGCGGGCTCCGCGCGCTGTGTCGCTTACTGGGCTTGGGCTTCGTTGGACGCAATGTTGATTGCTGTTAGACTGGCCGTGGTTTGTAGGGGCTGTATGGTACAGGTTTTTGCTCGCAGGGGTTATAAATGAAACATTCATTTTCATCGAAAGTTGATTCTGCTGCGATGTGCCCTGTCAAATTTGGGAGATATTTCTCTTTACGTCTGGCACTTGATGCACCGCTTTGATGACACATTAGCTATAGGAACATAGAACAGTGGATTCCTTAGATGCAAGTAGAAAAGCCTTGAGCTCCTAGTCATTGGGCATTTTGCGTTTAGAGCTCTTGTGCTGAGCTATCTTATTCAACCGGGAGGTACTGATTGTGCAACGTTATAAAGTAATAATTGGTTATATTACCATTGCACGACATTTCATGCCGTGCTTGTGATCGAAACCGTATCTCTACCAACGGTGATCATAAGCACTCGCCACTCGTGATTGTAAATTTGGCGATTGGTGGCAATGTAACCAATGTTTGCTCTAAAACGTCTTTCAAGCAGTACCTCCAGGTAAATAAAAGCCTGCTGAATCAGCGTAAGAAGTCTGAACACAGTGATTTATGGGGCGTATGTTTTTATTGTGTTTCAATGAACTTTTCTGGGTGTGTTTCGTATGCGTGTGCGTGTGCGTGTGTGTGTATGTGTGTGTGTGTGTGCGCGCGCGCGTGCGTGTGGCGCGCGTACACGTCTGTAACGCTGCCGCTGCGCCAGGCTCGCCACTGCCCGACCTGTCGGCGCTGGAGGAGCTGCCCGACGTATGGGAGTACCCGTCCGGTCTGCTGCAGCCGTCCGACCTCGAGTCGGACGCCGACGAGGAGGACACGCTGGCAGAATGCGAGCGGCTCTTCAACGAGTACCGCGCGCCTGCCGACGGCGGCCAGCTGACGGCCGCGCTCAACAAGGTCAGCACACTGGACAGGCCCCTTCACTTACCAGGGTCACTACAGGGCTGGCCACCATCCTCGGCACGGACAGCTGAGCAGGCTACTGCCTCTATAGGGCCGCTACTAGACTGGGCTCCCCCGTAGCAGAGAAGTACAGGGCTGACCACAACGGGACTGAGTCAGTACTGGGCCGACAGACCTCTGAGCAGGCTCATGGCAAAGTCATCGCCGCCGCCCGGTGCCAACGGTGTCAGTAAGGTGCTGTTTGACACGCAAGTAGTTCAGTACCTTGGGAACAACATTTTAGCCCTTCTGCCAGTAGGTGATTTTAGCGCGAAATCTGAAGGAGTCGGGATTTTTTCGGGCCTACTTTGTTATGCTCAATGCCACAAACGAAAGCTTGTGGTGCAAAAACACTTTCGTATTGGAATGCTTTCAAAAAGCGTAAGTGTGGAGATGGGAATAAATGTAAATGAGGGAGAAAGCATAAACAGAGGCAATAACCACTGCGCGTCTGGGAAACCAGAGGTACGGGGTTCGATTCCCCGCAGCGCCCGCCCTCCCTTGCAGGGTGAGAGGCAGTTAAACCTAAAACGCTTGATCGAAGCGGAACAAATAGATGCATTCTACTTCGCACAATAGTGTCGTGGATATTGTGAGCCCTAAGGCTCATAGACACGCTATTTTGGTGAGGGGTCAATGAGGTTCCCTTGGTCTTTAAGCATGTTAGAGGAAATGCAAAAAATTGAACATTTGGGATTAGCGATGCGGTTACGCCGAAAATAGCGGGATGTTCCAATCTACCCCATGTCGTGACAGTCTCGTTCTGCCCTGGTTCATACCCCGAGGCAGTAGGTGATGTCGGATGTGCCAATGGGGGACGTGTCTGTTGCAGTACTGAGATGCGTGCAACTTATAAATGTACTGGCGAGCATAGTAACTAGTAAAGAAGTGTCGCTCTGCCACCATACGTGTATCCACGGCGCCTCCTCTGCGCCGTGGTGCACCCGCCTCCTCAACTTTCGTACTCTGCGTTGACGTCGCCGATCAAATATACTTTTTAAAAATGTATATTTTTTCGATAACAATTTCAATCAACAACCCTGTTCGAAATTTTAAAGCTGGAAATGTGGACCACGACGTCTCCCATGGATCCCGCCCGGTCGCCTCGCACCGTCCGCGCGCTATTCACTCACCTAGCATCGAGCGCATGGCCTGCGCTGGGCCACCAGCGGGGGCATGGGTATTCTCTGATCTCAGCTTCGAAAGAAACGTGCATGTATCATGGCTTAACCCACACCGCACGCGTCGTTTGATAAGTTGCGTGTCGGCATGCCAGAGGCCTGCCTCAGTAAGTAGCCTAGCGCCGGACAGCAGGTACCTCAAGTTTTAATTTTCGACAATAGGGGGCCAGCGTGCCGCGGGCGTTGGACGACAGTTTAGTATAAGCATGCTGGTAGCTTGCTTTCGTTTAAGTGTCTTGTCGGAGGACAGCGTGTCTAGGCGTGCCCAGCCATGTCATCATGGAATCTGGCCCTTTTCCATGTACAGCCCTTCACCGAAGAGGCCGAGGGGCAGACGCGCGGGCCATTAAAGGTGCCTCTTTTTCTTAACGGCACTTGTGTATCTCACGTAAGCTACAATAAAAAATTGCACCTGTCGCTCCTTTAACAAATGCGTGAGCCATAGACTCGTTACACTCACTGTTCGCACGGGTTTATCAGCAAACTGCGTCATTAGGTACGTTACCGACCAGCTGATTATTGTTTGGGGGCCGGTTGCATTGCTAACATGTTAAGGTTTGGCCTATTTCTGAAATGCCTTCGATTGTTTACCGTGCCTGAACGATTGTGTCCATTCCCACCGTTTCTTGGTTTCGTTGTACAGCATGGCTACTGCACGACATTTTTGTAGGTTTGCCAACCAAAGAAAAGCTGTTCAGTGAAATACATAAAGCGTTGCAGCATGCTACCCTCATCCATTTGTCACGCATTTTTTGCGAGGGTTTTCCGTCTACTTCGTAATGATTAGGTCAGACTGTGACCCTGACATGTACTCTATTATAGGCGAAGCCACCTCAGTGATACGCCCATAATGGCCAGCTTTTTAGGCCCTAAGGTTGTGGCTGAGCGTACACGGCGTATATGACACTATTTCAGCCGTTGGGTGTTTGTTGGCGTGAAAAGCTGCCTTTTAAACTATTTGGTGTGCTTAGTTTGATTAACAATAAAAAATGGTTGTGGTAGTACCGGTTTATTTATTTGTGTGCCTATCATACAAAGTTATAATATGTCCTTTCGTTGAACTGAGATCATGCAATTCAGGACGGCGCTATATTGAAAGTTAATTTTTGTTTGCCGCCTTGCATCCAGGAAATATGCATATTAGAGGTGCCTCCCTGTGCATTGATCTCGTTCGGCCCATTGGACTCGCGGTATAACAAACCTACGTCCCAGACAGTCACATGCTCGGATCATGCCACCTGCACAGACGGAAGTCACGTGGGCCATTCTCAGGGCGAGGCGGGAAACACGAACGGGGCTCTCCTCGGCGGCGGGGGAGGGGGGGGGGGGGGCGTGCCCGGAACCCCGGGGGCAAGCCTTGCATGGTTCGCTGCTTCGAAAGAAAAATAGCGGCGGTGGAGCGTAGCGGCCGGTTCCACCGACTCTCCTGTTCGCATGTTAATGATAGACGTCGTGTTACCTGCAGGAAAACTCCGGTTTTGCCAGGCCTTAAATGTGTTATTGGACATCCCCATTAGCGGTAATGTGATGCTTCCGCGACCGATACTGAGCCAATAAGTTATTAAACTGTTGGCTCTGAGCTGGCACTCTTAGGAAGGCATTGCAGCACATTGAAAGAAATATGCTCCAAAGTGAGCACCCACAACATGCGGCCAGGAATATGGGTGGACAGAGCATTGACCTGTGGACATTCATAGCTCCAATTGTTTAAAGTGATTCACTAAAACGCAACCTCGCGACACGTGTTCGAATTGAATCAGTCGCTCAAATTCACTGCCGTCCATAAGACGAAACGGACGCATTGTGTTACACCGTGAGTCCGGCTGAGCAGAAGTTTGACGCCCTTTATCAAGCCGGTGGAATCGACACTTTCCAGTGGATCCCTGGCCGGTTGGCCAGTATGGTGGTCCAGTTAGTTCCGCCTCCATGAGTGGCAATGTGCCGATGTACCTGCCAAGGGCTTCACCAACAGTGACAACATGCAGATGGCAAAGATCCAGACAGCCTCAGCTAGCATGATGTTTCTGGTCATGGGATTAGCTTACGAAAGTCTGATAGACGCCATTGACAATGCCGAAACGTCATGTAACGCCCCCTCAAAGGATAAACGACGATGGTGATCATTAGGTGACCATGGTGTCGATTCAGGTCGTTGAAGTACTCCAGACGTGCTGTTTGAAGTGAAAACTTCGACGCCTCAGATCAGCCTCGATGTGTTAAAAGATCGTCACTGCGCACGTTCACACCGTTATCAGTGTTGATGGTATTTTTGCAAACAAGCACCAAACTGGCCTGTGTTATTTTTTTGCTGTGAGATGGAACTCTTAACATTTTGGTCGCTCTGCAAAATGCCCTTCTGCATATGCGCCAGGAGCTGCCGCTGGCAGGATGGCTCTGTGCACGCGACCTCGCTACGAGCGCCGCTCCCTCGCCGGCTGCAGTACCGCTATCCTCTCGGCTTTGTTCCCGGAACTCGCGCACGCTCTGTACTCAGCTGAGATTTGATAGAGAGTGGTCACAGACTGATGGCTCGCGTGCAGCTGCCTTACTCAGGCTCCTATAGTAAACGTAAGACAATGAAGTGCTGCGACCTCCTGATACAATAACAGCTGACACCCTTTGCGTAAGCCAGCGTGTTTGGCGCTTTTCTGACCCGATTTCAAATGCGGCCAATCAGCTTGTGATTGTGATCCGTCAGATTTCAAATTGTGCGCCATCTGCTCGAAGTAGGCCGCAATTAGGCCATGCGTCTTGCGAAACCAGGGAAGTTGTTCGACGAGTTTTTTGCTCTGGGATAGCCAGCGGGCTTTTAAGGTTGCTTTATGAAATGTTGTGTTGGCAGATTGTGGGTCTTTGTCTCTGGCTCGTCCTGTCTAATCAGACGATCTGGTTTTTGTTGTGGTTAGATCTTCGTTTGTGTTGAGATTTGCCCGGTGTTCAGTATTGTCCCAGGAAGTACAATGGCGTCAACCCACTGCGCAGCTAGTGACACATAAGACCAGTCTGCAAGGGCCTACCGGATGCCGTTTTCTCGTGCACAGTCGTTTCAGCAGGCAGTCATGATTGTTATGTATATGTGCACTACATTCTTAGCCACAGGCAACGGCCGAGTTGTCGGCCCTTGCCCTGGTCCTGATTTCCTGTCGTCTCCCTCTCCCCCGCCCGGTCTCCTGGCAGCATCCTGGCCAGGGGCGTAGTTTCCTTTTCAGTTGGGGAGGGGCTCCTCCACCCTTGAGAAGGAAGTGGGCCAAGTCCGTGGAGAAACTAGCTTCTTGGCGTAAGTTCGGTTGATAGGTTTCGTCATTTCTTATTGTTCAGGCTCCACCCGCTCCAACTCATTTGACGATACTGCGCCCCTGCTCCCGGCCCCTGCCCCCGACACCTCCCCGGCGCGGCCCCTGTCCCCTGTCACCTCGCTGGCCCTGCCCCGGCCCGGCGCCTGTCATAATCGGCTCACGAGCCGGATGACGGGCGACGTCACGGGACCGCCTCGTCCGTGGGCGGCGTGGCTTTCCGCGCGAAGCGTTCCTGCTGGCGCGCGTCACGATACCGTTGCTGAGCCGGGCGCGCGCTGTTTCCGCGCGAAAGGCTCCCGCCGGCGCGCGTCACTGGCGCCGTTTCCGCGCGAGTCGCGTCACCAGTTCGGCGAGCTGCCGGGCCGAGTGTGCCGGGCGGCCGGCCGTGGTGCGATGCGGGACGGACGATGCGCCATTCGACCCAGGCTTGGTCTCGACCGAGCGTCGCAGGGCCTGGGTCGGCCGGCCTAGCCACGCCGTTCGATGTGCTGCCCTCTCCTGGCGATTGGCGCAGGCCGCGGGTGCAATCATGACAATGAAGACGGCCAGGTGACCTGGGCCTCTTTGTATGTTAGGTTTAGACTGACGTGGGTTGACAGTGCTTCTCATATTACGTCTCACGGCATAGTGTTGCCCTTTTACACCGATTTAATCACTCTTACATAACTTAAAGCCTGGTTGATTAAAGGGCGCTGCTGTCCGGCCCCGCCCTGCGTGCCCGCCCCAACCAGCGCGGGGACGGGAGCGGCGGCGGCGCGGCTGCTCCCGCCGTCGCCACCGAGCCGGTGATCTGGTTATCCGTCGCCGGGCCGCAGCAGGCTGAGCTCCCCGCCTCTACTCTGTTGACGCGGCCGCCACGCGCGCGTGCGGCCCGGCCCCGGCCTAGTGACCTTGAGCCGGGCGGCTTACGTCACGGTATAACCGGGCCGGCTACGGCCGGAACCGGGGTCGTGCCGGGGCCCGTCCCGCCCAAGCGCCGACCGCCGACCGCCGGCCGCCGCCGCGCTCCTGGCGAACGAAGCCTTCCGGCTCAGCGCGACGAATTGTGGGCCGGTGACGGGCGGCGGCCGTCGGTGGCGGCGACGAGCGGCCACGCGACACACGCGACCTACACGCAACGTGTCCGTCCATCCGTCCGCGCGCCGCCTGCCGGCACGGACCGGCTCCGGCGGGGGCTGTCAGGTGCCGACGCACTGGCTGGTGGATGCGCGCTGTCAACTCTAGTCACGTCGCCGTGCTCTTCACATTCGCAGAAAATTCAGCTGGCGTGATCGTGTGCGTCGTTATGTCGCACCAAATGCGCGAGAGAAGTCGTCATACGTTGTAGCGACTCTATGCATTCGACTTCAAAATCCACGACCATGCGACCACGCGGCCGGCGCTGTTCTGGCCGTGCGCGATTTGTTCTGCTGCGCGAGATGTGAGCTTTCCTCCCCGTCCGTCAGCCGCGCTGGGTTTGGATGGCATGTTTCAAAACACATCATCCAGAGAGCGGATGATGCTTTGCAGAGGTCGGTTGCGTCAGCGTGCACTGACCAATAAGGGACTTTGTGATGCGGACTAGGTGCCTCGACATGCAGTGCCGGCGGTGCGAATCCCCTGGGGGCCGTACGTACGCCGCTGCACGTACCCGCGCTCGGTTAGCCGGTGGCGCACGCTACTGACGTCTGCGGAGCCTGTCTCCGGACCTAGCCAAAGATTCAGACGTATCTGACGGAGGTCGACAGCGATATGATCACGGTGATACCATCCCGGTTTCGGGCGTCGTAAGTCAACAGTTGCTGTGGGGTCGTACCTTCTTTTGGGCATCTATTTTCATGGGCCACGGAGAACATACACCTGTCCCTCCTTCAGGTGTCTGTGTATGTGTATCATGCTCCATGTATGTTCAAACGACACACAACTGTAAACGTCGCACTACAGCACGCAATAGTGCTAAGCTTGTTCCGTCCTTCCCTAGACGTGTCACGTGTCCTCGTGCCGGGCGCTCCTGTTGTCCGCGTCCTTCCCCTCGCCACTCTGAGCCGGGAGGCGGAGCGGCGCTGCCTCCACCGGGCGGCCAGCCTGAGCACGCGCTCGCTCTGTGTGTGCGGCAGGCGCGGCAGCTGCAGGACCAAGCCAGCCGAGAGGCGCAGCGGGCTGCGGCAGAGGCGGCCGCTGCCACTGGCCGCCGCCGGGTGGCCCACGCCCGCGGACCCGACCAGGTCGTCCGCCAGGTGGGCCGCGCCGCGCCCAAGGTCACGCCGGCTCAGGTCAGTCGCCACACCGTGCAAGCACGGCAGCGAGAGGCTTGTGGAGGTCAGCGAGGAGTCAGGAGCGCTCACATCACAACAATGTTTATGTTGCATTTTCGTGTTCGGTTCATACTTAGATCGGTTCTGCCGTCACCTCCACTCCTATTGCTTGCCAGTCGTTGTGGCGCGAGCACGACGGCGAGGCTGCCGACCTCAGCTGGGTGCCAGGTCGCGCGCCCTGACGCCGCCCGGGCCCGGTCCGCAGGCGATGCACGCGCGCTGGCAGAAGCTGGCCGAAATGCAGCAGCAGCGTATCGCCCAGCTGGAGCAGGAGCAGCAGCGACGCGATGCCGAGGACCATCAGCTTCCGCCCGTCCTGCCCGTGCCGCCCGTGCCCAGTAAGCTCACCCTCCCCCTCTCACAGGGACGCGTGTGGCGCCGCCGGCGTACACTTTTGGTTCACCGGGTATCTGTAGCTTTGCTGTGCGTTTTCTTTTTTGAGCTGCAACGGTTCACGGGCCTTTGGCCGTACGGTCTTAACATGGTCTCTACCTCTTGACCCTCCCATCTCCCCGCGCTGAAGCCTCTGGGCAGGTATCTGACTGCTACCTGGGGTGTCACGTGGATGAATGCCGGGAACGGGGCGGGTAACGGGCGTGCCACACGACTGAGCGGAAATTCCCGCTTGTATTCGTTTTACAGGGATGACTCGCCTCTGTTGCACAGGAATGCTCTTCCATGTGGCTAGTCGTTTGTTTCACTTCACGCGGCAGGAATGAGCTTCGTTTCGTCCAACCGAGAGTCTGATCCCGTCGAAATCATGCTCTGCATATCTGCGTTTGCCCAACCTCATTCGGGCTTTGTGGTGCTGACGACATGTCTTTTTGTGCGTCAGCCACCATGCGTTGCAAGCACGTCGTACTGCCGCTGCCTGCGCAGTGCGTGCGCGTGCCTCTGCGCAGTCAGGTTTGCGCGGCGTCCAGTTGTAGCCGCGCGTGGCTAAGCATGGTATGTTGGCAATATGAAGCGCAGCTTTCGCGCGCGCGTCGCGTCGCGTGACGTAGCGTGATCTGGGGTGGCGTGAGTCGACCGTGCGGAGTGCCCTCGGTTAGCCGCCACAGGTGGTGGCTGAGGCTGGCGTCGGGCCCGGCTCGGCACCTTCCACAACTCGGCCGGGCAGCGGGGGCTGACTCACGATACACGCCGTAGAATACGGCGCACAGGCTGTTCCAGCGACGGCGACCTCCCAGCTACCGCGAAGCTCCCACTGTGTGTGTGACGTCACACGCTGGAGCTTAGGTGCAGCAACGTGGCCTTCGGCCGAAGTCCGAGATGGGGTTGAAGTAGGCGGTAGAGTCCCCCAGGCTTCGTTCCAGAAGTGTTCTTTTTTATCGCGTCGGCAGCAGATAGATGTAAGAGTCCATTTGGGACCGCTGTGTCTCATTGGATCCAATGAATTTGATAATTAACCGTGGTCAAAGCAGCATTTTGATGTGCATCCCTGCATTGAAGGTGAACATATGACGAATGCTCCTGGCTGAAACAGAGGGCCACAACGAGGCAGTAACGGGAAAGAAGCTTCGAGACGCTCGCGTATCTCTGTGGTGGTCCGGACATGGAGAGAGTCCGGCTTTCGAGGCTGTCCTCACCCCTCCCCCCGGGACGAACTCAGGAACGTTTCCGGTCACGCACCAGTCCTCCAGCCAAGCGGGCGGCCTTACGCTCGTCCCTACTCTCCCCTCTGTTCCGTTGGGGCATATCCTAACGGTACTTTGCAGACTCCCTGTTAGATAAACAACCATGTGAATGACCTATACGCCCCCTACACACATGCACACACACACACATGTGAATACGCGTATAAGCCGTAGTGTATTGTGCGTTTTATTTTTTATCAGCACTGGAAACAGCAGGGTCGGACAAACCCTGTTGTGATGTGGCGGTCTCACCTGCCTATCCATGGCGTTCGATCGCGCATGGTTCTACTGAAGCGGCTGGGTTGTACTTGTGCAGTTCAGCTCAGCTCCATGAAAGAAAAACGCAATGTACGAAAACTGAATGTATGATGATATCAGATGTTCGTCTCATTCAAAAATTTGGCCTTTTCTTGAATGTCGTCAAAGTCTCATTTTCTAGCGTTTGTGGACCGCTTTGCCATAGCGTTGCCAACTTCAGCTCTGTGGTTTGATTCCAGGCGGAGTCATTTGATACGTAATGATAACGACCCGATACGTACGATGCACCCCATCTGATTTGTCTGATCTGGCATGACACGTTGACAGTGTACTTGGGCCTGAGCCAATCTGCCGCCGATCCTTATCCGTATGTTTGTTCGTGTACGGTAAGCACGATCCACTCGAGGCTAACGCTCTGCCTGAGTAAAACTAATGGTCTTAGCAGGCCTATAAATTATATATATATATATATATATATATATATATATATATATATATAATGAATTTCTGAATGGTCAGCAACGAAAGGCGACCTGTCTAGCCTCTTAACGATGGAGTCACTCTGGACCGCTGGGTGTGCGTAAAGCCAGACCGTGTCAGGTGGGTCCGATTCTCCTTTTCTCTGTCGCTATGGTCCGTGCGTAGCCTCGCAAGGAGGCATCAGACGGGACGGCACGTCAGCGACTGTACTGACCCTAGACCCCTGTCGCGGACTCCCGCTGCGTGTTATGTCCGTCAGCGGCTCGTGACTGGGGCGTGCGGAGTCGGTCCGTGTCGTCTCTTGAAGGCTGCGTAGTGACCGCTTTGCAGACTGTGCACTGCTTAGTCTTCCGCAGTGTTATCTTTGTTGGGTCACGGTGCAAAGTCAAATACGGCAGACTAACGGGCGGGCGCTGACTATTTGGACAGAATTTGAGAACCCATAACATGACCAGATGCATTCACAGCAGCAGTGGTACCAAGCCTTGCACATGGGGTCGATGTGCTAGGCATCCGAGCGGCATGGTTTTAAATAGCGTAGGTTGCGTGGGATCTGAGCTTATACAGCATGGGAAACAGGATGAAATGACGACACCAGGGTAGCATTGATTAAAATCAAGCACGCTAAAATGCGACACATAAACCCTAGTTGGGAAAATCTACCATTTTTTAGATGAAATGTGTCTTTGGAATTATCGGGCGGTAAGATTCGAGACGGCACGCTTCGTGTTCGCTGCGCATCCTACCGGGCGCGGGTAACCGTTGGCGCTGGCTCGTCATTAGCTCCTGGCCCTGCTCTCGGGTACATGACGTGCTGGTGGGTGGAGGGAAGGGTCGAGCATGGTGCAGTGCGCACGGCTCGCTCTGTAGCTCACGCCACGGAAGCGGTGCCTCGGTAGCTGTGACGATAGTCCGCTCGCCGCCGGTGCAGACACGACTGCCCCCCCCCCCCCCCCTCCACCCCCATGCAGCCGCGTGGGAGCGGCCTTCCAGCCGTTGGGCGTCTCAGGCCGCCCCAGAGGTATGGCTCGTCATCTGCCCGCCTCCTGTTGGCCAGACCTCACGTGACTCTGACGCCACACAGAGCCAGTGAGCTACAACCGCTTTTGAACTAGGATGGGGGTGAAAAATCTTACCCCAAAAAGACTGTATAGCAGTGACAAATTTAAGTTACAAAAGTTGGAACTCATGAGTCAGCGGGAGTTACCCCATTTAACACATATGTTTCAAGTTGGCATGAATGCAGAATCAGAAAAGCATGACAAAATGCTTTTTTAGCATCTTAGGTCATTACAGTGAAACAAAACGCATCGAAGAATAGTAATTTCAAATGGTGTAATGAGCATCAAAAACTACGTGACAACAATGTTTTTATGCTGCACTTTGCACTCCCCTTCCACAGGATTTTTTAGACACAAACGATAGCAAAGGAAGTTAAGAAAAAAAATTCAACAAGGATAAAGTATTCAGACAAAAAAGCCTTGGATTACTGCACATCAGCACATCAAACCAAACATCACAGCCATACATCTCGTTTCTGTTGATATAGGGTCAAAAAATATAAATATCATGTCACTGTTTCTTGCAAAATACAAATGCTTATTTCCATGAAAGTAACCCAACTGAGCCTAGCCTAAAAGAGGCCTACCTTATCTGATCGTATCCAATATATTTGTATCACAGCAGCATTTGTGAGTCACTGATTCTTGCAACGTTCCTATTGCCACTTGTCATGAAATTAACCGACTTTGTCTAACTTAGGTTAGCCCGTATGCTGAACATCATCTTAACTCACCCCACCTAGTTCTTGACAGAAGCACTTGTGATAAAGACATGACATTTTTTGGCTGGTTTCAACTTAGGTTTTGGTCCAGTTAGTTTGTGTCAGCTTGTTGACACCAGACAGTTAACAACACATGAGTCAAAAACCCCCAAATGACTTTGGACAATTTATTCTGATTGTCATGGTTGCCCTCTGTCAAGGGCAATGGTGAGTATGCTCCACAAAACAATATCTCCCTTCCAAACGTAGCTTAGGTAAAGATGGCCACAAAACCAGTTTTGCTGCATGTTATTTCAGCTGCAACAAAGGCACTCATTAACACGCGCCCGGCTGGCCGGCTAGATACCCTTCGCTCGGGTGTGGGGTCAATTAGGTCAGTGACCTATTCTGACCTCCCATCAGTTCATGGAAGATGTATGATGTGGTTCCTGCTATCAATAAATTCGAAATGAGCACCAGAAACTATCCCATACAGCAAGCCCTAAAGTAACAAAGCAGGTTGGTTTTGGCCTTGGTGTGACCTTCATACCTGACCTTAGGTCAATGTAATTTACTCATTCAATTGTCGTGTTGCATAAGAAAGCATCTCAGAGATGTATGGCCTCGTCTAACACTTCCTTATTGGATCAGATTGAAGGATTCCCCAGAAATTGCCAGCCTGCCATAGGTCAGCGACCTTGCAAGGTACATGTAAATTTTGTATGCCAAGCGATCCGCTATTCAATTGTCTACACTTATGCAAAACTTGACGCGGCTGCGCCGCGCCGTTCGGAAACCATCCTGGAAAAACCTTCGGAGAGGCAATTTGACCCCCCACCCCACCCGTGCGCGTGTTAAGGTTTACTTATTCATATCTGATGACTTAAAATTTGAGATGTTGGCTTTACATTTTGAATTGCATGGTTTATCTATTAAAAACCACTGTCTCATATTGTAATTACTATGAAGCTTAGAGTATTCCGGTGTTAAAAAGTATAGTGCATATCTGCAGTTAAGACATTTGCCAGTCTGCAAATTATGGCAACTATGGACAACATCTTGTTAAAAGCAGACCTTTTTCAGACCAGACCAGACGAGACCAGACTTCAACAAATTTGAGGCGAATAGTCAAGTTATGTATCAAATTAGCTCGATTACATGTCTTGTAGTATCATAATTTGTTTAATAAACAAAACTTAAGGCTTTTTACCGAAGTGCTACAACAAAACGTGAGTAAAAGATGAACACAACAAAAAGACTGCCTTCTTTGATCTTTCTGCGTTGTGACGCTTCGCTCCGCTCTCATAACAAAGGCATGGTTACTCTCACCACCAGCTACAAATCGTAACAGCTGAGCGGATAAACGATGCAATAAGCTTCACGTTCCTAGGGCCATAAGGCACGCATTGATTTGTGCGGTTAAAGGGAAAAGCTCTGGACCATGTGATGATCTAAGTCCTTCATGGCTAACATCGTCCTCGTCCCCCACAGCCAAAATGCATGCGGCCTCCCACGGCCGCCATAGAAGAGCGCCATCGGCGCTTTCAGGTGGCCTCAGGTGGCCTTCACTTGCCGATGAGAAGAAACGCGTGGGTCCACTGCCTGCTCCCGGGATCCGCCCCTGAATTACTTCTATGCTGCTTAGATTAAATACTTTTTTCTAAGTATACAGAGAATAACAGCATATATTGCCTTTAATCACCATAAAGTAAGTTAAGTCTGGTGTGAAAAAATGGGGTGGGGGCTGGGCTGTCGGGCCTTCGGTTCGCCCCCCCCCCCCCAATAATTTACGGAAATTGACACCCCTGGGTTAGACAATATGAGTGAAATGACAGCATGAGTGAAAAATTGACATCAAATATGGGGAAGGGGGTGAACAATTCCTTCTCATAGAGTGTTGCTTTTCACCCAAAGTCGGTCATTCTAGGACACTAC